CCTTGTATTTTGGGGTGTTTAGGACTTAGAATTTATTTTCTTTTGTATTTCCCATTTTACCCTTGTATTATGGGGTGCTCTAGATTATTAGGGTTTTTAATTTTGGGCTAGGGTGTTAATTAGAGGGTGACACATTTTTGGTGCTTATTGGGTCTATTTTTGGTGTTAGAAAGGCTTAGGCCCAAGTGGAGGGCAAAGGTTGCATGGTCTTATCATGCACCTAGATATAGCCAATCTAAACCCAAAGATTCCATCCTTGGCCACCAAGTTGCATCTAGGGTTCATTTGCATTTCATTTGGAATGCATTTGCCTACTCCAAATGCAACCCTAGATGCCTCCCCTCCTATAAATACCCAACACCCCACCACTTGTAAATACTTTGGATTATATAGATTTTGAGTGAGCATTCTTATGCCTCAACGTCTCATCCTTAGTCCCTAGGGTAAGTTTCGGCTATCCCCCTCCTATCTCCACCCTTGGAGAGTAGGAAACCTAGAGTGGCCTCCACCTACCTTGGAGTGAGCCAACTTTGAGCACCCAAACACCACCAACCTAAGTGCTTCCGCCCAAACACCATCATTTTCACGCCAACTTCCTTTTCTTCACCATACACCTTTCCTTTTGTCTACCTTGTTGAACCTAGATCAAGGGCAAAGGCTTTCTCCCTTCAATCCCTACGTCATTCATGGAAGGAGGAATCCATCACATCTGATGACATCTGAAACAACAGCTCTCCGTGTGCGGACAGTTCCTGACAAAATGGGGTCCAACACCCTGTAACATCTCAGAGTGGCACCTTCACTCTGTCTACCTCTACTAGCAGCACTAGAAGGTTTCCTAATGATAGGACCCCCTTGCTGTGGTTGGGGCCTATCATACGGGTTCCTCTGACTCTCACCTCTCTTGGACCTAGATGGCCCCCCAGTAGTCCTCGCAACATGGTTACCACCTTCCAACCGCTCCACCACTTTCGCCTTCTCCACTAAGGCCGGAAACTCAGTGATGGCCATAGGCACCACCACCCTCTCCAGCTCATATCTCAAACCATCAACAAACTTCCTGCATTTCCAGGCCTCAACTATACCTTGAGAATAAAAACGAGCCAGGTGCTCGAATTTCATCGCATACTCAGAAACTGTCATCCCTCCCTGGTGTAGTCACATAAACTCAGCCTCCTTGGCGTGCCTCATGCTCTCAGGAAAGTACTTCTCCATGAATAATGTCCTGAAGCACTCCTAGTCAACTATAACTCCTCTAGTAGCAAGCATCTGATAGGTGCCTCTCCACCAATATTCAGCCTCCCCCACAAGCATATACACAGCATATGCCAGCCTCATCTCTGGAGAACATCCCAGAACAGCAAAGATCTTCTCCAACTCACATATCCAGCGGTCAGCTACCTCTGGATCTGCATCTCCCATGAATTGTGGGGGATGGCATTTCCGGAACTCATCAAGGTCCCGACTCTCTTGTGACCCTGTAGGTCTTGCTGCACCAGCTGCAGCTCTATCAGCCTCCATCCTAGCAAAATAAGCATTTTGCTGCTGCATAACCATAGCCATCATCTCTATGGCACAGGCTATCTGCTCGTTGGTCCTAGTCATCGTCTACAAAAGTAACAACATCTTTAGTAAACAATAACTAAACCAAACAACAATCAACAGCACAACAAATCATCACAGCAATCAGCACAACAAACATCACAGCGAGACAGCACAACACAGAGCTAACACAACAAAAGCCTAAAGGGACCACCCCCAAAGAGTCACTAGACTCGACTTGCTCTGATACCACTAAAGTGTAACGACCCGGCCGATCACTACACGCAGCACAACACACAAGAAACACTGCACAGAAAAGAACAAGTGTATACATATATGGTCTAGAATATATACATATACATGATCCAATCTGAACAGAGTTAAAGTGTATAAAAATACAATCAAGTGCTACTACCCCAAGTAGCTCAACAACAAAACAATCACAAAAGAGATCAGCTCCGCCGGTCCGCTGAAGACTCACCACTAGTCATCCACCTATCCCTGCTCTACTCCCATACATAGTATGATCATCGCAGTCCAAACATCATGGAGACAACAAAGGGTAAGCTAGTGTAAATAAAATCAACATACATATATATAGCAATATAGTAGAGGACAGCTACAACTTATATCACTCATAGCATTTCAACAATATCGGCACCGCAATGCGGTAATATCAGCACTGCTTATCAGCAATAACAGCACCACTTTAGTGGCTATAACGGCACCGCTTAGCAGCAATAATAGCACCACAATAGTGGCTATAATAGCACCGACATAGCGGCTAGAACAGCACCACCATAGTGGCCATACATAGCATACAACTCAACATTTCATAACACAACACAACACATCAACATACAACTTAGCTAAATGTCATTCCACACAGCCTACTACTCATAACTCAGCTAAAGCACATCAACATTATAATTCAACATTTAAATCATTAATAATAGCCCAGCTCAGCACAACAACTACATCTATTTCAACTTAACATCATTTTTTAGCCTTCACATTTAACCAGCACAGCTTATGCATCAATTTCAGCTTATTCTAACATAACATTCATCAGAATTTTCATCATATATCTCCATATTCATCATGCGCGCCCGGCGCACCCATGGTCGCGCCCAGCGCAGCTCAACCAGAGAGCATCAGGGGTCATCGCGCCTAGCGCAGGACGGCTCGCGCCCGGCGTGGCCCCCCTCAAGCGCCTGGCGCAATTTAGAATTGTGCCCAGCGCTTGCCAAGCAGAGACTCCATGGAGTCTCACGCACCCAGCGTGCCTAGGCCCGCGCCCAGCGCGGGGAAGGCAGAGACCTCCCCTTGGTCTCGCACCCAGTGCAAATTTGAATTGCACCCAACGCCCTCCTGGCAGAGACTCCCAAAGAGTCTCGCGCCCAACACAATTAGGGCCGCGCTCAGCGCAGAACCACCACCCAAAAACAAGTCCCAAGCTGCCTGCGCACTCGGCGCGATCCCCGTCCCGCCCGGCGTGGACCAACCAGAGGCTCACCTTCTCAAGCTCGCCCGGCGCACACATCTTTTCCCCTGGCAGGCTTGTCAAAAAGGAGCCCCCAGGTGGTCTCACGCCCGGCGCGAAGAATCGCGCTCAGCGCGAGGCTTATCAACATCCCACCAAGTTCGAAAGTTTGCTTCAAACCTGCCATAAATCAACAGCAATCCCACATGCAAACCATTCAAGATGCCACATTTTTAATCAACACCTCAAAAACACCTCCTTTTCACACATGCAACCATAAAACAAGTGGAAGACCCAAAATTCATCAAAACCCAAAAACCCCCAAAATTTCCATTTTCAGCAATTTAACCAATAATCATCAAACATCAGCCAACGATTGAGTTTCTAGAACTCGTTTCCAACCAAAATCAGCAAGACCTAGCTTCCCTTACCTCAAATCAAGAAATCCTAGCTCCGGGAAGTAGAAGACAATGCCCAACGGGGAAAAAAGGGAGAAAAAGAAGAAGAAGAAGCTCCGCATGGCTCAGCTAGAAATCCAACTCCTACTCTTGACTAGCACCTTGAATCAAGCAACGAGAGTGAATCAGAAATGTGAGAAAGGGGGTGAAAGAGAGTGTTGAGTGTGAAGAGAGTTTGGTAGTGTGAGTGAGAGTAAGAGAGGGTAAGGGTAATAGGGGAAGGAAAAAGAGAGGGTCTCACAGTCCATGAAAACCTCAATGCTCTTCTCCACTAGGTCGGAGAATATAGCCAGCATGCATCTCTGAAATGTTGCAGGAGCATTGCACAGTCCTAATGGCATCTTCCGATAAGCAAAGACACCAAAAGGACATGTGAAAGCGGTCTTCTGTTGATCTTTCGGATCCACCACAATCTGATTGTAGCCTGAATACCCATCAAGAAAGCAATAATAAGCTTGGCCAACTAATCTCTCAAGCATCTGATCCATGAATGGGAGTGGAAAATGATCCTTCCTTGTGGCCTTGTTGATCTTTCGATAATCAATGCACATCCTCCACCCCGTGACCGTTCTAGAAGGAATCAACTCATTCTTCTCATTTTGAATCACCGTCATGCCACCCTTCTTTGGAACCACTTGTACAGGGCTCACCCATGCACTATTAGAAATAGGGTAGATCATACCGACATCCAATAACTTCATCACTTCCTTCTTCACTACCTCCTTCATCACAGGATTAAGTCGCCTCTATCGTTGAGCAAACAGCTTGTACTCATCCTACATAAATATCTTATGCACGGAATAAGCTGGGCTAATTCCATTGAGATCAGAAATAGACCAACCAATTGCCCCTTGATAGAACTTCAACACTCTCACAAGCCTTTCCTCCTCCAATGTGGATAAGGAACTACTTATGATGACCGGTTTGTTTCCACCTTCTTCTAGAAATACATACTTGAGATGAGAAGGAAATATTTTTAATTCAAGCTTCTTCACCTCCCCTTCCTCCTTCAAATCTTCTATACGCACATAATTAGGTGTCACCTTCTTATAAGAGTCAAGGCTCTTCAGACATGCCTCAATCTCTCTATCTTCTTCTTCATGGAGGTACTCTACCACATTGATTAGGACTTTCTCCAAAGGAGTAGAAAAAGAGACATGCTTCCTGGTATCTTCAACAAGGCCATCGATTACATCGACTCGGAAGCAATTGCTTTTGTCATTGGGGTAGTGCATGGCATCAAAAACATCAAAGTTGACTTCTTCATCATTCACTCTCACCTTAAGCTTCCCATCATCCACATCAATTAGAACTCTTGCAGTCTTCATGAATGGTCGGTCAAGAATGAGAGGTACATCAATGTCCTCTTCTATATCCATCACCACAAAATCAGCTAGAAACAAGAAACGGTCCACCTTCACCAGAACATCCTCCACTATGCCATGAGGATACTTCACCGATCGATTAGCCAACTGCAAGGTCATGCGAGTGGGCTTCACCTCCAAATCACCAATCCTCTAAAGCATAGATAAGGGCATGAGATTTATGCTAGCCCCCAAATCAAGCAAAGCCTTCCCAATAGCTAAACTCCTAATAGTGACTGGAAGAGTGAAACTACCAGGGTCCTTGGATTTAGTTGGCAACATCTTCTGAATAATGGCACTACATCTCGCCTCCAATGTAATGGTCTCCTCTTCAAAATATTTCCTCTTTTTGGTGATGAGCTCCTTCATGAACTTAGCATAAGTAGGCATTTGTTCCAATGCCTCGGAGAATGGAATGTTAATCTTCAAGGTATTGAAAATCTCCAAGAACCGAGCATATTGCCTCTCCTTATCTCTTCTTGAAGGGGCATGAGGATATGGAAGACTCTTGGTGGGTGGCACCTTTACAATATGCCTCTCCTCCATGGATGTTTTCTTCTTCTCTCCACTAACCCCTTCTTTCTCTTTTTCAATTTCTTTCTTTTTCTCACTCTTTTTGTCCTTTTCTTTTTTCATTTTATTCTCTTCAACCATCTCACTTCCTTCACTCCTTCTCCATACTCCTGGGCCCTCTAAGATGATTTCTTCATCAACACTAGCATCATCTTCCACACTCATGTCATTTTTTTCTTCTCTCTCATTCTTCTTCTCATTCTCCTTCACCACAAATTCCCTACCACTCCTTGTAGATACTACATTCAAGTGCCCCTTTGGATTTTTCTCGGTGTTGGCTGAGAAAAAACATTTTTGTTGCTCTGCTAGCTTCTTTGCTATTTGCCCCACCTGTATCTCCAGATTTTTAATTGAAGTATCAGTGTTCTTTTGGTTGGACATAGACAATTGCATGAATTGTTGTAGTGTGTCTTCCAACTTGGTGGTTCTCTCATATAAAGGTGGGTGTTGGTGTTGATGTGGAGGCCTGCTACTTGATGAAGCATTCATATCTTGCTTGTTTCCACGATAATTATTTCTCCACCCCTGATTTGAGTTTTGAGGATAAGGGTGTTGAGAGAAATTTTTCCGCCCTTGATTCCCCATATAATTCACTTCTTCACCTTGGGAACTAGATGATTCGGCACAATAGCCATTAGGGTGGTCACCTCCACAAAAATCACATGATAACACTTGTTGCATAGGAGGGGCATTAGTTTGCATAGCTTGAAGTTGTTGAGGTAACTTAGCCATCTGTTGATTCAATGGTTCAATTTGTTGGGAAAGAAACTTGTTCTGAGCTAACACTGCATCCTGAGTACTCAACTCCAAAACTCCCCTCTTGTGTGAAGAGCTTTTACCATGCTGGCTCCTAAAATCTGTGGAGGCCATAGACTCAATCATGGTGATAGCCTCTTCGGCGATTCTGAACATAACTAACCCTCCAAAAGAAGCATCAAGTATCATCTTGGTTTGAGGTTGTAACCCATTATAGAAAGTTTGAACTTGCAGCTCCACCTCAAAACCATGATTAGGGTACCTCTTAAACAGTGATTTGTACCTCTCCCATGCTTCACATAATGGCTCATCCGCACCTTGATCAAAAGTAGCAATAGCAGTTCTGGCCTCAGTGTTCTTGGAAGGGGGAAAGAACCTGGCTAAGAATTTAGTCTTCACATCCCTCCAAGTGGTTAGGCTTTGGTTTGGCTGAGAATGAAGCCAAGCCTTAGCCTTCCCATTCAGGGAGAATGGAAACAACCTTATGAACAATGCCTCTTCATCAGCCCCTGAGACTCCAACTGAACCACACAACTCATAGAAAGTTTAGAGATGAGTATGTGGGTCATCATGATCCAGGCCAGAAAATTGATGAGAGCTAATAAGTTGTAGGAGTGCGGGCTTCATTTCCACTAGTCTGTCATTCATTATGGGCCTCACAATGCTAGAGAATTCCCTCGGGCTAGTGTAGGTGAAAACTTCTAACTTCTCCAACAATCTTTGAGGTGGGCCATTCTTGGATAGCCTTTATTTTCTTGGGGTCAACTTGTACTCCCTCTTTGCCAACTATAAAGCCCAAAAAATTTACTTGTTCTTGACAAAAAATGCATTTTTCAAGGTTGGCATAGAGATGGTTGACTCTAAGAATTATTAGGACTTGCCTTAGATGTCCAAGATGTTCATCTAAGGTTTTGCTATATACAAGGATATCATCAAAGTAGACGACCACAAATTTTCCTATACAATCCCTAAGAATATGATTCATTAGGCGCATGAAAGTACTAGGGGCATTAGTGAGACCAAAAGGCATCACTAACCATTCATACAAACCAAATTTGGTCTTAAAAGCAGTTTTCCACTCATTACCCTCTTTGATTCGAATTTGGTGATAATCACTTTTAAGGTCAATCTTGGAAAATATGATAGCCCCATGCAATTCGTCTAACATATCATCTAGCCTAGGGATTGGGTGCCTATCATCAAAAGTGCTTGTTTAATGTCATTTTTAAGGAATAAATGACTTTTGTGAACAACTTCTTTAGAGGGGACACTTGCCTCTAAACTTGGCACCTTCCCTTCCCCTTCTTTAATCCTTAGGGGAAGGTTTTTTTTTTCTTTCCATTGTTTTCTCCTTTTTTTTTCTTCTCCCTCTCTTTTGACTTTCATTTTAAGTTTGTCCTCACACACTTGATAAGGTGATAGAGGACACAACACAATCTTCTTGCCTAAGTGATGAAAACTTATTTTGTTGGTTAGGCCATCATGAATAGTTTTTTTGTCAAATTGCCAAGGCCTTCCAAGTAGAATATGACTAGCATCCAATGGCACTATATCACATAAAACTTCATCTTGGTATTTTCCAATGGAGATAGGTATATTCACTTGTTGATTAACTACAATACCTCCCTCCTCATTGATCCATTGTAATTTGTAAGGTTTTGGATGAGGTATAGTAGTTAAGGCTAGCTTATCCACTAATCTAGTGCTACAACAATTGCAACTAGATCCACTATCCACAATGAGAGAACAAGTGTTTTCTAAAACCTTGCACCTTGTATGAAACAAGTTCTCTCTTTGGGATTGATCTAGATCACTAGATTGGCTTCCAAGGAGCCTTCTAACCATTAACAAGTCTCCTTCACAAGGGTAGATTTCTTCCTCGGACTCTAAGATTCCTTCTTCATCACTTGAAGAAGAAGAAGTAGCTTCATCAAGGCTACTATAGTGGTCTTGGCCCTTTAAAATCATGGTTTTCTTTGTTGGGCATTGAGAGGCAATGTGCCCTCGACCAAGGCACTTAAAGCACTTGATGTCACTTGTCTTAGTTTCTTTGGAAGATGTCCTTTGAGAGGTTTCTTTTTCTTTTTCTTTAGGAAAAGGATTGGAAGAGGGGCCCTCCTTCTTGAAACTCTTGGAATAAGATGGAGTGGAGTCTTTTCTAAAAGTTTTTCTTTTGAGTTGGTGCTCCACTCTAGAACAAAGTTGAACAAGCTCATTCAAATCTCTATATGGTAAGAGCTCAACTTTGTCTCTTATTTCAAGGTTAAGACCACTTTGGAATCTTGAGATGGTGGTCCTCTCTTCTTCCCTTATCCCAGCCCTCATCATGAGTAACTCCATAGATTGCCTATATTCTTCCACACTAGATGACCCTTGTTTTAATCTTTGTAGCTTATCCATAAGCTCACGGTCATAGTATGGAGGAATATGCCTCCTTCTCAAGGCACTATGGAGCTCATTCCAATATTGAATTAGAGGCTCATGGTTTATTCTTCTTTCTTTTTCTAAGGAGGTCCACCAATACATAGCATGCCCTTGGAAGCTAAGGGTTCTAAAGAAACCTTTCTCTCTTCACTGACTCCATGGCAAGAAAATAATTGTTCAACCTTCATTTCCCAATCCAAAAAAATCTCAACATTGTCTTTGCCATGAAATGGGGGAAGAGTGATGTTGGGTTCCCTATTGGAAGACTCCCTATGTCTATGTTGCCTTGGGGGCCTTTGATAGTAATCATCATTGTGATGACTACTATAGAAGATATCACTTGGAGGTTGACTATGATGCCCTTCCTCCTCATGAACACTTGAATTTACCATATGCCCCTTGCCCTTTGAGGACTTAGGAGAAGTGACTCTTGGTCTTGAACCACTAGCCTCTCCTCCCACAACTAGCCTAGTAAGCAACCTTTCTATTTCTTCATAATTTTTCTCAAATTCTTTCTCTCTTTTTCTTAATTCTTCCTCTCTTTTTATATTTTCCTCTTCTTTTTTTCTTAGGTATTCTTTTTATTTCCTAAGTTCATCCCTAACACTAGACCTAGAACTACATGAATTATGACCATGGACACTAGAATGATCACTTATCTTTGATCAAGGAAAGGTTTTCACAAATTTGTTTTCAAAAAGGTTTGAAAAAGGTTTTCACAAAGGGTGAGTGATAAAAGTTTTTCACAAAGAGTTTTTAAAGGTGTAGGATTGGTGTAAAAAGGCCAAAGTGTGCAAATTGAACTATCAAAGGGAGGTGGACTACAAGGAATAACTTAAAAACCAAGTCTTATCAAGTAGGAATCACTAAGCCTTTTCATACTTTTCTTACAAAACAATTTTTATACTAAAGTTAGGTGTGTGTGTGTGCACGGTCCCCTAGTAGGCAAGTTGAAGCCTTCTAAAACGAAAACAATTGATGTAAAAGACCTAAACAATTTATACTACTAAAAGCTTTAAATCATGCAAAAGGAAAACACTTAAAACATATACTAGTCGAAGTCCTAGGTAAAGGTTTTCAAATTACCTTCAACTACACGAAATAAAACCAAAATGAAGAGGTTTAAAAATGACCAATTACAAACCAAGATAAAGAAATAAGGCCCAAATACAAGTGACCCAAAATAAATCAAGCAAAAATGAAAAGACAAAGAATTTAGGTCTTCAACTCCTCCAATTGGGTTCCTTCACAATGACCAAACTTTGGTTAGTCCTCTCCAAGTGTTTAAACACCCATTTTGTGTAGTGGAAATCCCTCCAAAGACTAGGTTTGGATTCGCTTCACTCCTCCACTCAAATCCACCAAAGGTTTGCCAGTTGGCTAGATAGGTTCTTCACCTACATTCAAAATGAAACCAACCCAAGAGCAAGAGTCCAAGAAAATAAAAAGTGAAAATGCACAATTAGGAAAGGCTAAACTTAGAGAGAATTGATGAAAACAAAAAAAAAATAGGCCAAAGAAATGACAAACTAAAATTAAGACACAATTAAAAAGGAAGCACACAAAAGAGTAATCTTAGACTCACACTAGAATGGATTAGTGTTTTAGTCCACTTGATTTAAGTCCTTTGTGAATTTGGTCCAGCCACTTTTAAGGTCTCAAAATAGGTTCAAAATGTCACAAGTCCAACTCCAAATGCAAAGGTAATGGTCCAAGTCCACAAGTCTAGCAACAAGTCCTTTTTGGTCCAAAATTTTTTTTTTTATCCTTTTTTTTTGTTTCTATTTTCTCGTCACTTTGTTTTTCCTTTTGGGTCCAAATTAATTTTTTTGAGGTTCAGCCCATTTTGTTGCTTAGGTTTTGCACTTGTGGGTGGAGAAAATTTAGGTCAAAATTTGGGAGAAGGAGAGGAGGACAAGTTGCGGTTTCTTAGAGGTGTTTAGGGCATCTTTTGAGTGGAAATGGATTTGTACTATCTAGTACAAGTTGTTTTGCACATTTTTTCAGCACACCTCTTAGATTCTTTTAGGTTTTTTTAAACATCAAATGTTGACCAAATCAAGTGAGAATGCAAGGAAAGTGGGCGATCATGCATGTGCAAGGAAATATTTACACATGAATATCAAAAACCACATAGAACATGCTAGGACTACGTAGCATGCATGAATGACTCCTAGATAGCTCCTATATGTCACGCCCACTTAGAATGATGCATCATGGTATTTTTTTTTCATGTATTCATGCAAGGTGTTTGGCATACATACATGGAATTTTTGTAGACAAATTATAGGAAACACAAAATTTGACAAAACTTAGGTGGATTCAAAAATCAAAAGCATGTTCATAGCATGTTCTTCATGTTCATATGAGACTCAACCTAAAAAAATAGAAAAACATGGATATCACCTAGCAATGGAAACCTAAAATGTTCAAGGAAGGTTCACAAAGAACAAAATATGAACCCAAAGCATTTGGCCATACAAACAAAGACAATAAAGGAGACAATGACCGAATGGAAAGAAAATGACAAGATGTTACCCTTGATGAACCTTGGCTCTAGATACCGCTTGATGGAGTCCTCCTTCCCATGGTTGATAATGGTGTGTTGAAGAGGATCACCTATGCCCAAGATCTAGGCTCACCAAAGGGGAAATGAGATATGGACGTTAGGGTGAAGAATGGTTTTGGACGTAAAGATGATGAAGGATGTAGGTGGAGGTGTATGGATGCTCAAGTAGGTTGGCTCACTCCAAGTGAAGGTGGAGGCCACTCTAGGGTTTCACTCTCCAAGAGTGGAGAATGAAGGTGGTTAGCCGAAGTTAACCTAGGGACTAAGGATAGGATTTGAGGCAAAGAAATGCTCTCTCAAATTCATATAATCCAAAGTATTTACATGATGCATAGCCTAGGGTATTTATAGGAGTGGGTGGCATCTAGGGTTGCATTTGGAGAGTGCATGGCCAAAATTCACAAGCCAAATGCACACCAAATGAAATGCAAATTAACCCTAGATGCAACTTGGTGGCCAAGGATGGAATCTTTGGGATTAGTTAGGCTACATCTAGGTGCATGATAAGATCATGAAACCTTTGCCCTC